AAAACATTATGCATTAAAAAAACATTAAACATTAAAAGTTGAAATTATTAGTCCAAGTTTGCAAACATCAAACAGTGCCTTAATACATGTTAGTAAGTGTGCACTATGATGTAATTTTACAAGCCCGGCACCGACCGCGTTTACGTGTGATGGTGATAGTAAATCCTTGGGGTCCGAGAGTAGAGAATTAGGAAAGTCCGGTTTTGAAACAGGTCGAGGTTGCAGCTGGCTAATAAAAAATGACGTCTCATTTTCGTATCACCGAAGGGGTTCGACAATCTGCAACGGTAACTCAACACGAATCGGCATGGAAAGGCTAGGGAAGGATGGCGAAACAAGGATACCTCTTACCGCGTACAACACGTTAGTAAATCTGTTAATCAAAAGAAAACAAACAAACGACGAAACATAAAACAGCTATCAGGTGGGCATATGTTTCCATGAACCAAAGTATCCTCGTGACGTCAGTGTGCACCATAGATAGTGTTTGGGTTACCATAGATAGTATATAAGATAGCAGAGTCGGTTTATAGTTAGCGTTAGGGTTAGGTGTAGGTTTATGGTTAGTGTTAGCGTTTTTGCATCATTCTTTGATATACGAAAAGTCTGATGCGAAAGTTGATATGCGTTGTATGGAATATGACCATGCGCAACCACCAGCACCATCAGCAGGCTGTATGCATTCAACTTCGGAGATAGCCGAGTTCGTGCGTGACGTCAGTGTACGTCACGATGATACTTCGGGTCATGGAAACATATGCCGACCAGATATCGCCGGTTAAGCCATATCGTAAACACAGATCCATAGCCAATTCTTTGTTCATAAAAATTTGAATTCGTGGTATCGACTAAATGTTCGGCTAGCAGCCGTGACTCAAAAATGACGCGACGCTTGACGAAATCGGACGTAGGCCCCTACCCACTTTCGGTCGGAGCTGTTTTAGCTCATTCGTCACCTTTAAAATACGCACTATGGTGAGTTTGTGCCGTAGTATGCCTCTGTTGACATGGACGCTAATTTTAGCTTACCTATTATGTTATGGCCACGTTCGAGGTCATACTTTTGAAGCTGCAGGCGTCTCGCCTTTCTCATCGCATAGGCTTTAAAATAATGTACATCTCTCCTTTCGACGCTTTGAGTCACTGTCACGCCGTAATGAAATTTGAATACCACGCTAGCTACACCTACGAAAATTCGCGCGCTGCTCGGCAATTCGCGAGTTATTTTGTTAATAAATTATTTCCAAATTTGTGGCTATATATATACAGTGAAATTACGATGTGGCTTACCCTATCGTCTCCGTGTTAGTCTTCTTTTCTTTTTCTCCTCCTCCTTCTTCTTCTTCTTCTTCTGGTCTTCTTCAGCTGGGGGATTAGCTGGGTAGAGGTAGCGAATGCAGAACGACCATAATTCTCCACCAATTATTGTAATGCGAATTGGTTGATTATCTCCGTTTTCGTCTATCTCTCTACACCGTCATATCTCGATCCTCTGGGTAGGTAACTATCTAACTCTCTGTCCGAGCGTGTCTATTTATACGCTTCTAAAAACAGCTCGGCGACATTTGAATCCGACCGGTTTATCGTCATTACAGACCGGACCTCGGCGGGGCTAGGTGACGCGACGAGGCTACGCAAATATATCGCGCCCTACGTCCCGTGTCACTACAAAAACAACAACGAACCACCAGGCCAGAACACAGGCCAATTAGTCGCACAGCCTCGTCTGGCTAGAAGCGCTACTGGTTAATTAGCACGCAATGTACAATACAACATAATCATTGAAGACCGATCGCATTCCTCCCCTTGATGCCTACGCAGAAACCGCGTTTGTATTCGACTGAGAAGACGCCACGCAACGTTACAGAACAAACTGTCACATAGCAGTCGGGGGTCGTCGATGTATTCGGTGATATTTATAATCGAATTCCGCGACAAAGCTCGCGTTCGGAGCCTATATGCTTTACACGTGCGAAGCTCATCGCTCTACCTTTCACTTGAGCCGCGGTGCACAACGAAGCTGGCTCGAGAAGACATGCAGCGCCACAGCAACATGACGCTCCCTATTACTAGCCAGACAAATGCGAGTGTCTATGCCAGTATAGGAACATGTGTGATAAACAGCACAATTCACCTCTAGTGCCTCTGGACTCTCTACGGATCAATCTAGCTTGCGAAACCTTTTACTTTTGGTTTCATGCGGTGACTGCATGCAGTGCAGTGGCAAGACACCTGCGCATATGCGCAGATTGGAATCGCCTTTCATTTCGTCACACCATTGGGGACACTGTCTGCCGGCTTTTCATACGAGTAGGCTATTGAATATCGACTAAAATTTTACTTCGCACAAACAAGTAATTCTGGCAGATATTCGTTAATTCACACTGCTGCCAAGGCGCGAGTTGAAGGCACCACATCTTAATATCAACATCGCAGACTTATCATGTAATTCTCGCACGATAATATCTCTCTGAGCAAATGTCGTCGAGGCGGACTTAGCAATTGCGCTAGACACATCCGTTCGCTTGCGTTTTTGCGAAACCCTCCGTACGTACGATGTTATCCGCCAAGGCCGACAGAACCACGAGCTTTTCGATACATGTGAGGAACTCAAAAGGATAGATTCGAATAGACACATTTAAGTGGAGCAGGAACAAGTAATTACATCACCAAGTAAACTCGCAGTTTGAAACATGTTGTTGTAAGCGTAGGAAACTGGGAAAATCAAACCCGTTCAATAGTCGTAATTGCCCACACACACATTACACCTTACACGGTTGTGAAATTCTACATGGCTTGTATTGTGGAGCCGATTAAATGTGATTTGTTGCTGCAGATTTCGGCATTTTTTATATATTTTCAAGCTCCCGTCCGTTTGTTAGGCAATAGATATAATGTAATCAATTGAGACAGAATTGCTTTTCCTTAATTTGCGCGTATTGTATATATAAGATAATAAGACGGACAGATAAATATTGCTGGAGATCGGAGATTAACCGAATCAGATCACACGGCCTACGTATTCAATAATATGCGTGGTAGTTATTGTCAATAAACTATTAGGCTAAATGCGGGAGCAGAGTAATACCATTCTAATCCGCATATAATAGTAGCAGCGCGAATACTATCCTCGAGCAGAAGCGGACAAAACACACAATCAAAACAAATGGCAAAAAAACATCGTGCAGGAGAAGAGACAAAATAGTCGCTATACGGGAAACACGAGCAAGTTTCTAAGCAGAAACTAAAGAACTCCGATAAGAAAGACGAGAAGAAAAACACGCAAAAATCTTGCAGCGTGAAAGTGAAGAGCGATGAGAGGGAAACACGGAGCGTACGTGGGCGTGCGCTTGGCCGTGGGTGGAACGATGCGTGGGAGCAGAAAAGGGGAACAAAACGTAGTAAGTTATATGCGGGTCGGCTAACGATTGCTCGCCATCCCACACATGCGCGCTGCGGTGCACTCAAAGTAAATACATCAAAAACATATTCACATTCACAAATGATATAACCTGAGTGGAATTTCTCTCGCCGTCAGTCACGTACCCCCGGCTGCAGATATCGCTGCAGGGAAAGCGCGGGAAAGCGTACGTCATTACGTGGTTACAAAGATGTCGATTCTAGCATTCTATGAGCACTAAAACGCGCGTAGAATACGTCTTTAAATGTGAAAGGCGCCAGCGTTATTGTCATTTTAGTTTTTAGGCCGTCGATGGCGTCAAGGTCATGTCAGTTGTCAGACACGTGGACATCATAAAGGTCATGTCAAGACACATGGACCTCATCAAGGTCATGTCAGCTGCCAGCCACGTGGACAACATGAAGGTCATGTCAGCTGTAAGACACGTGGACAACATCAAGGTCATGTCAGCTGTCAGACACATAGACAACATCAAGGTCATGTCAGCTGTCAGACACGTGGACAACATCAAGGTCATGTCAGCTGTCAGACACATAGACAACATCAAGGTCATGTCTGCTGTCAGACACTAGGACCCCACGTTAACTTGATGACAGCTGTTAGACACCTGGACTACGCCACGGTGTCGTTAGTTGACGCGCTGTTGTCATGTTAACCGTTGTCATGTGTCCGGTTAAAGGGTTGTCGCGCATTCCGTACGTGTTTCTAGCGTGTCTAACAAATCAAACAGATCGTAGCTCGGCTCACATCCGACGACATTCAATGCCGGTAAATCATCTGCGCATGCACACGATGGCAGCCACGCGCGCTGTAGTACGCGAGCAGTGACCGCAGTAATTGCGGCCGACATTTTTGCCAATTGAGGTCGATTTCCAATTTAATAAGAAAGGGCAATTCTGGCCCGTACCTCGGCAATGACGATAATTTACTGCCTAATTTCACTTCGCCCGAATCTAGGCGCAATCGTTGCTAAAATAATGGACACGATAGCAGTATGTGGGCACGGGAACGTGTGTGTGTGCGTGCGTGTATACGTGTGTAGGTGTGTGTATATGCGTGCGTGTGTACGTGTGTAGGTGTGCGTGCGTGTGTGTGTGTGTGTGCGTGCGTGTATATGTATGTAGGTGTGTGCGTGCGTGTATACGTATGTAGGTGTGTGCGTGTAGCCGTGTGTAGGTGCTGTGTGTGTGTGCGTTTGGACGTGGAGGAGGGACGCACACGCACGTGGGTGGCGCACATATCGGCGAGCAATACAATCAGACGCTATCTAGCCTATACACGCTTCCTGCCTCATTTGACAGCGCGGCGCGAGGAGCAAAAATTCACACATTCTAGGGATGCATTCAGAGTCGACTTAATCACCACCGCCTAGATTCTAATCTATTCTAACAGATTCTAAGAAGTGCTGCTCGCAAGGTTTTTTATCGGCAATAATTTCACATGCTCATCATCGCTCGCGCTTAGTTACCACATATGAGTTAGTTTAACAACAGCAAGTCTAGCTCTTTGTCAGCCAGGCGAGTTTTCCTCTTCTTTCTATCTTCACGTTCTCGATCGCGAGAAATTTAGAATAACATACCTGCGCCATAGGTGCCATCTTCATCGCTGTAGTCGTGTTCTTTGAATAGTCGGCTTTTGTTGTAACCAAGTGGACGTAGCCTTGTCGGCTGCAGACTTGGCGGCTACGCTGCCCGCACGCACCTAAACGCAATAAACACACGAATTAGAACAACGCTAACTATAACAACCATGGCGGCGGCGACGATAACGACGGCGACGATGACGACGGGAACGATGATGATGGTGACGATGACGACGCGAGAAACGATGATGATGGTCGACGGAATGAACGACGGTGACGATGAACGATGGGAACAATGATGACAGGCGAACATATGCTGACCTGCGATCGATTTTGATGATGACGACGGTGACGATGACAACGGCGGCACGATGATGAGGCGGCGGCGAGATGACGCGCGAAACGAATGAAGAGCGGCGGCCGATCTGATGACGGCGGACGCATGATGATGGCGGGGGCGATGATGACGGCGACGATGACGACGATGACGACGATGACGACGACGGAAAGCCGAAATAAATTTTTATACTTGAACGCTCTTGCATACATGCCTAGTTTGCCTACACACGCAGATACACAGACGCACACGCACGCGTACGGACGGACGCTCGCTCGCATGCACACACGCACACGAATATACTCCCCGTGGAACGCCGGCTTTGCACACGATGTTGATCCCTATATATATATATATTATATAGAGTATATTATATATATACATATATATTATATATAGAGAGAGAGAGCGCGCGCGAGAGAGAGAGAGAGAGTATTATAATAAAGAACTTATAATAAACAATGAAACGCACAGTCGCACACACGGCCCCCTCATCACGGCTACACACAGCAGCGGCGCGTTATGCCTTATGTACTCACTGCCGACTATCGTAACGGAGCCGCACTGCGCGCGCGTGCACACGATACCCACGTATCGGCAGCGAACCAACCACCGCGCAGCGCCCCATATCTCTCTCTGCGCTGCCTCCGCCGAGCCACGCGTATTACGAGGCGAGAGAGGGAGCGAGAGAAGCGCGCGCGCCTGCGTGTCGCATTTCGCAACATTAATTCTAATTAATAGAAAGGTTGCGCGCGCACGAGGCGAACGCGCGCGAAATCGCGAGAAACAATGGTCTCGACCCACGTCCACTGAACTATAACAATAGTTGCAGGATAGTTGTTATATTTGTTAGAGTTCACGCAGTGCCCGCGTCGGGTGCGATGTGACTGATTAGTCGTGAATGGGAGAATGGGACGCAGCGGAGGGCGCGAGCAGCGCGGGTTATACGTCACTGCACACGAGCTTAAAGACAAGAACGTGATCGAGCGTGGAGATGTGGAGCATCTGTAAGCCTCCGCGAAAAGGAAGGAGAGCGCGAGAGAGCAGAAGAAGAAGATGATAGAAAGAGAGAGAGAGAGAGAGAAAGAGAGAGAGCGAGAACACGCGAAACAACTCGAAAATGGATTCCTTTAGAGTCGGCTTTATTGATCGGTGGAGGTTGACTAAGCTAGAAGGTCAACACGTAACAGCGTTAATTTATCAGCGTGTTAGAATAGCATTAGAATATCATTATGAGCGATATCATGTAATCAGAGGTGCATTACCACATATCGTCAAATATCTGCTGACAGATGTGTAATATTATACGCGCCAACGCAAGTGCTCGTCACGCCGCCTAGCGGAAGCTGTAAGATTCTACACTGAGTGCGTAGAATTGGGAATGCGCGCTAGCACTAGATTTTTATATGTAAAGATCTGTGGGTTTAATCAGTGATTACTATCTATAATGATCCGTGAGTGATCTCTATCTCTAGATATCTGTGAGTATTATCACTGATCTCTCCATATAAAGTTCTGTGTGTAGTAATATCGATTTTTTAAATATATAAAGATCTGTAGGTACAATTGCTGATATCTCTCTCTCTCTCTCTCTCTCTCTCTC